GAAGGCTTTCCTTTTTTTTTTTTTTTTTTAATTCTCCACCTTCACAACAGTCTGTAAATGTAAATGACCCAATGTCACAAAGATGTGATAAACTGCTGCTGAAATGAGGTGGAGCAAAAACATTTTTCAATACTAAGTACCAGAGGTGGGACCAAGTCATTGCTTTGCAAGTCACAAGTAAGTCTCAAGTCTTTGCACTCAAGTCCGAGTCAAGCCTCAAGTCAAGACAGGCGAAGTCCGAGTCGAGTCCAAGTCAAGTCCCAAGTCTAGCGGGTTCTGTTTCGAGTCCTTTTCGAGTTCTTTTAAAGAAAATAATAACATATTTACGCAGATCACTGCCGCTCATTTTTTGTTGACCACCTTGTAGTTTTGAAATCTGAACAACACAATCTTTGGTATCGTTTTCTCTCGCCCGAGCGTTGTTTGACATGTCTTCCACATCGGTTGTCCCGCAATTTGATTGGCTCGATGCTATCGCGTCAAAACAACGTGGGTCTAATTTGATTGGATGTTGTGCCGACACTGCCGCTCATTTTTTGTTGACCACCTTGTAGTTTTGAAATCTGAACAACACAATCTTTGGTATCGTTTTCTCTCGCCCGAGCGTTGTTTGACATGTCTTCCACATCGGTTGTCCCGCAATTTGATTGGCTCGATGCTATCGCGTCAAAACAACGTGGGTCTAATTTGATTGGACGCACGCACGTACGCGATGACAGATACAAAGCGCTCCTTAATGACTTACTTTATAATCTTCGGGTTTGGAAGAAAGTATCAACTCTTGTCGAGTCAAAGGGCTCGAGTCCAAGTGAAGTCACGAGTCATTGATGTTAAAGTCCAAGTCGAGTTGCAAGTCTCTTTACATTTTGTCAAGTTGATGACTCGGGTCTGACTCGAGTCCAAGTCATGCGACTCGAGTCCACACCTCTGCAGTATAGTGATAAAACATTCTCCTCACCTCCACCACTCCATGGAGTTAAATCTACACCTCCTCAAGGTAATGTGGCTGAGTGGTCTAAGGCACTGGATTAACGCTCCAGTCTCTTTGGGGGTGTGGGTTTGAATCCCACTGTAGCCATATATTTTTTTAACTTCCTGGGAACCATCATCACCCAGGACCTTAATCATCAGATCCATCCATCCATCCATTTTCTTCCGCTTATTCATTACATGGTCGCGGGGGCAGCGGTCTCTGTGAACACCACCCAAATCACACTGCACAGCACCAGCCCCTCGTGAACCTCCTTGCGGTTGGTGAGTCCACTGGAAAATGCCAACCACCCTGACCGGGATTCGATCTTGCCCAGGAGGTGAACCCTGGGGTTCCACACCAATGACAGAGACATTGCCTCTGGGCCAAAGCGCCACTAGGCATCAGCTCCCGCATCCAAAAAGTTCAACAGAGGTTGTACTTCCTAAAGGCAGCTGAAACAGTTCAATCTGCCAAAGACAACGATGGTCTATCCTCTCCATCTCCATCTGGTACGCTGCTGCCACTGCAAAGAATATGATCAGACTGCAGCGCATCATCCGCTCTGCCCAGAAGGTAATTGGCTGCAACCTGCCTTCACTACAGGACCTGTTCACCTCCAGAACCCTAAAGCAAGCAAAAAAGATCGCAACCGACCCCTCTCACGGTTACAAACACTTTGAGGCACTCCCCTCTAAGGAGGAGGTTGCAGTCCCCCTGGACCAAAAGCTCTTGCCACAAAAACAGCTTCTTCCCATTAGCTATTGGTCTTGTCAACATACAAAAAGACTCACACTGACGACCCCCCCACCACACCCACCTGCACACACAACCCTTTTATAAATATATTATTAGGTAATATTTAGTTCTGTAAATATCCCTTTATTCTACCCATGCATGTTGAGATTTACTTACTGACTACGTTACTTATAAACGCTGACTTTTTCTCTCAGATTGTGCCGCACTTTGTGATGAATAATTCTTATAAAATAAAATATATTCAGCGAGGAGACAGAATGAGACATACCCAAGGTTAAGGTGCTTCAGCTTCTGCAGGCCACTTATCTGGGTGGGCAGCTCTTCAATCTGATTGTTGAACAGGTTTAGAACCTCAAGGTTCTTCAGCTCAGAGATGTTTGCAGAAACAACTGAAAAAAAATCAGGCCAGAAAAAAAAACATCCTTATAGGAAAACAGCATGTAAATTGTCCTATTTATTAAGATTATTAGATAGACAGTATGCGTCATTCTACGTGTGGTCCCAAGATTTTTAATCTAAAAAAAATCTGTATTTTCTGCACTATAAGTCACGTTTGCGACTTATACTCAGGTGCGACTTATATATATTGAAATATATAATTTCACGTTTGTTATTTTCACACCGACAGCCACGAAAGGGCAATCGAGGCTTGTGTACTAATATCTGCTACTCATGTACCATTACAAGATTGTGCAAGTGAGTGATAAGAAAACAAGACAAGTGGCTCCAGGTACAAAGAAGGCATCGGAATAATCTGTGGCATCCGTAAAGCCATTCGTTGAAAGTTAATTATCTCATTGGAAGATAGAACCTTCTTTAGTTAACAGCTTGGTTTCTGAGGAAAATATCCACATATTAATGCCTCATTAATTGTGTGTCATAAATTCAGTGGAAATGTTGAGTGACTTGTTCCGTCAATGTCCTGTCATTTATTACAAATGTTCACTGCATCTAACTGTATAATAATGAAAGCTTTAGTATCAGTGCTTTAACACTGAACACTAAGAATCTGAATCAAAATTATACTGAGGTTAATGTGTAACTATAAAATAGAGAGAAATTTGCATACCTTGAAGCTTGTTGTGGCTGAGCACCAACTGAGTGATGTTGGACAGGGTGACTGAAACAACAAAATATATTAGGTCAGCAGCAGAGTACTGAGTAGAGCACAGAAAATACATGCAGAGGCATTTGCATACTAGAATAGCATAGAACAGAATAGTCTGTATTGTCTGGTTAAAACATAACGAAATTGGGGAAGGCTTCTTCACAAGAAGTCTAATGGTACATAAAAGCTACGGCCCTGAAAGTAACTTGCTGTTGACATCATGGCTCGTTTACATTTAGTACAAAAACAAATGTAGAAAGACATGTTTTTTTCCCCCGCCCAATTATTAACAAATTTGACAAAATTTGAGATACTCAAACAAATTAAAAAATATGGTTCTTCTATTGTGACACTGTCTGCCTCAGCACCTCTGTTAGGCGTGTACTTGTATGCTTCTCGTAAACAGTATGCACTGCTTTGCACTGTATTTTCCAGGTAGCAATCATACAGTGTTGCCAGACGTATGATATTTATCGTTTTTGATTTTAGATATCTGATCCCTTCATTGTATGAACTAATCATTTAGCACTCATACTTGCGCCTTTCACACATTGTCTCATGTATTTCTTTACAGCCATTGAATGCATGACTTAACACATATTGACAATTAACGAAGCTTATGGCAAAGCATAGTGTAAATTAGCTTGTAATGACTATTAAAGGTGTGTCTCACTGAAGCTGATCGTCCTGTACTGTCAGTGTGTACAGACAACATTTTCCGCAAAATATAATAATTTCGGGCCACTTACACAATATTACAATATTTCAAATCTGGTAACACTACAGTCACTGTTGACCATTATGAATGGTGCACTACGAATTGGTAAGCTGATTTCCGCTTAATGACAACATGTTTTCTTTACTCCTTTTACTTCTTTCAAATGAAAGAACTGTACCCTGCATCTGTGCTAACCACTAATGTAATGTTGGTGCAGGCATCTTGAAGAATCTCACAAGCAGTTGCACAGTCCATAAAGGTGGTCATTAACATGTACAGTATGTGCTGAATGTTTACCAAACGTTTTGTTATAAATACACGTATCTTTAATACACACATGCTGAAATTGACATACACAATCAATACAGACAGGCACAAAATTACTGCTGCTGTTTGAGCTCAACAAAGGTCCGTTTTTTTGCAATTCTATTTTTCAGTGGTAAACCATCAAGGCCAGCAAGGCATTCTTTGTTGACTTTTAACAGTTACTTTTTATAGCTTTTCTCCTCATTGCGCTGCTTCCAGTCGAATTTGTACTCAAGTTTTTTATCCAATCATATTTCAGCAATCTTGTGTTGTGTTGTTGATTGGATCATCAAAAAAAAAGCACGGCCTCAAATCTATCAAACGGCATCTATAGCTACTTGCACGCACAAAATTATTTTTTTTTACCTTTCGAGCAAACATCAGCCCCGTGCTGCTGCAACACAAGAATTTCACCAGTGTGAGATAATTAAACTTAAAGGTAATCAAATCTAAATCGAATAAATATTTACGCTATATATATATATATTCATATATATTTATATATATATATATATACTGTGGTAGTACACTACATGTAGTGGCAGTATTATGGCTACACTACATGAGAGTGATGGTTTCTGTACCCATGATTTTATTAAGGGGACGTGGACTTAATCAGGCAGGACATCACTGAATTTCTATATGTGAAATACACAGCATGCCACTGCTATTTTCTAGCAAAATTCACAAATAAAAAAAAAACCCATGTATTTGCCATTTCCAATTGTGTAACCAACCTACTAAGTACAGAGATGTTTACTAGAGACCTAAAATACTACTAGATACTTAATCCATGTGTACTTTTCCAATTTTGAGATAGAATGGGAGGTTTCATGAAAATGGTGTCATGACAAAATGAAAAATTAATATCAAGGTGTATAAAACTTAGCCATTATAAAATAAAATACGACGAAGACAAAATACAATAAGAGTGTGTATTAACAATGACATTTTCTAACATCAGTCTGTTTATATTAGACGGTAATCGTTGTTATTTTTTGGAGGAGCAATACAGTGTATTACGTTTGCCGTGGGAGCATCACTTTTTAGCAAGGAAGCTGTGTCTCCGCGCCTCCTCATGAACAGAACTCTCCAATGAACACCTGGGCTCAGACCTGATATGTATCTTTTGCACTATATTACCAGTTGCACTGTTGATAATATCTGATCATACTGGACTGCTTTTATAACTTTCTTTGCTGCTAATACTTGACCGCACTGTACTGTTTTTATTACTTTTTGCTGCTAATACCTGATCGGACACACTTGACTGCACTGCACTGTACATTAGTGTTTAGTTTTGCACCTTAAAGTTTTGTCCTGTCTTGTCTACTCATGGGACAGTGAGAAACAAACTTTCGATTCTTTTGTATGTCTAGTACATGTGAAGAAATTGACAATAAAGCTGACTTTGACTTATTATCGCGTAACGGACATTAGCGGCAGTGACGTCATTGAGTTGGACCCCTTCGATAGCTGTCATTTCTTTTGCCGGATACAAATAAGTTGGATACGATGATGGCTTGACAATACAGGAGAAAGCATAAGTTGGGACAAGTTTTTATTCAATCAAACCTCCCATACATATTCCAAATTCTAAAAATACGTATAACCCTAACCGCAACTTTAATTTAGAAGCACATGAAAAATATCTCACAACCGTTATGTCTTTCGTTAAATTTTAAGTAAGACTATACACAAGCACAGACGCACATAGTTACCCCAGAATTTATCTTACATAGTCCGGGGACGTCCAGCATGTTAGAGATGCCTCTGTCGCTCATGTCCACCTCTGACACGTTCTTGTCTCGACTCTCCTCCACAATCTTCTTCAAAGATTTGGACATATTTCTGAAACCACTGCCTCACGTCAAACAAAAAATATGACGCACGTTTTTTCGCTGATCGAGGGTTACAACGAGAGCTGCAGGCGATTCGGGTTCAACAGATGGTAACTGACAACACAAAAATGCTCCCACTCTGAGGAAAATACTATTGGTTTATCTTAAGGGAGTCCCTAGTCTAACGCTCACACCCTACCGGAAGTTAGTGTGAAAGCCACACTTCCTAAATAGGATAATTCCTGATCTTTGACGTAGTGCGGCAAAGGCCCCTCCTCTGAGTCTAACAGTCATGTTCTCTGTGTCGACACCGCACAATTCAACAATGTATGTATTGTTTACAAAAAATAAATTACTAGCGCTACGGCTATCCCGCTTTCCAACTTAATCTCATAGTCATAATCTTTCACAATATGAGATACAAACTTATTAAACTCTAGGCCCTCAGCAGGATTTGACCCAACAAGTCATTTTCAGTGGCCGATGAAACCATTCTGAGTTAAGCTATAGAGTTAATTCAATAGTGTACATCACTTGGTATTTTTTACCAATATATTTATTTTAATATAAACAGCATTTTATATGCAATAACTATTATTATTAGAAAGTATTTGGTTATGTATAATTTTGGATCCCCAAAAGTGCTGCATGATATGGAGGACTGTAAGTGCGAAGATTAAATAAATAAACATATCATTTAATAATTAAATAACTGTGTCTCTAATTATTAAAAATTGAAATTAAATATATAAATGTGTAATTAATTAATTACAGGCATTAAATATAGATAGACAGACAGACAGACAGACAGACAGACAGA